GCTGACCGGTGCAGATTGACTGTGCAGAGCTCCGGAGAACACCGCTGGACTGCTACACCTTCCCCAGACCCTGCGACCTACCCATTACTTAATTTGTGAGTTACACCATTAAATAAATATCCTTTTAACTACGTGGAGTGGCCAAAATAATTTCTCCAATACAGGTGTGAGATCCTGAGTTCAATTCCCAGCACTAAATAAATAGTCACAGTCTGGCAATATTCAAAGACACTTATAGCCATTAAGCACACTCCACAATGTTTGCACAATAATTGCCTAAGGATACATTTCTCAGGACATACTCCTTTAATCCCAGCACTTGGGAGGCAGAGGCAGGAGGATCTCTGTGAGTTCAAGGCCAGCCTGGTCTACAGAGCAAGTTCCAAGACAGCCAGAGCTACACAGAGAAACTGTGTCTTGAAAAAACAAAACAAAAGAAACAAACAAAAGAAAAGAAAAAAAAAGTATTATTTAATGCTGTTAACAGAATTGCTTACCAATTTAAAGGTCTGAGGAGATGGTTCAATGGGTAAAGGTGCTTGCTGCCATGCCTGATAATTTGAGTTGAATCCCCAGAACTCAGAAGCTAAAAGGAGAGAACCAACTTCCACAAGTTGCCCTCTGACCTTCACACACAAGCTGTATTGCAGTGTACTGACACATACCCCACCTCCACACAAATAATTGAATGAATATTTTAAAATTGTATAGCAATTTGAGAACCTACAATTTTTTGGGAGGAGTGTTTTTTGAGACAGGGTTTCTCTGTGTAGCTTTGAAGCCTGTCCAGGAACTTGCTCTGTAGACCAGGCTGGCCTTGAACTCAGAGAGATCTGCCTGCCTCTGCCTCCCTAGTGCTCAAAAAAACTTAAATGAAAAAGAAAAAAGGAACTAAATATATATCAAACCTTTAGAACATGGAAGGACATTCTAAACATAAATAGAGAAATTCTAAAGAAAAAATGACAAACCTGATAGTTTTTTTTTTTAAAGAAAATATTTGGTTGTTAAAAATATAAAAAATTTGGGTGGTGGTAGTGCACACCTTTAATCCCAGAACTTGTGAGGCAGAGGCAATTGGATCCTGGTCTACAGAGCAAGTTTCAGGACAGCCAAGGCTACACAGAGAAACCATGTCTTGAAAAACAAAGAACAAATAAACAAACAAAAACAAGAAAATGTTCAAATTCTTTAAAAAACTGGTAAAAATCTGCAATTAGTAAAGAAAGGTTTACAATGACATATGTATATATAAAGATACAAATGAATTTAGGAAAGATGTAAAACCAATAGATGAATAGGTGTGAAGCATAAATTAGTGCATAGAAAAATAAAAGCCATGGGCTTGAGAGATGGCTCAATGGCTAAGAGCATTGGCTGCTCTTGCAGAGGACCTGGATTCAGTTCTCAGCACCAACATGGTGACTCACAATCATCGTAACCCCAGTCCTCAGGGATTCAATGCCCTCTTCTGACTTCACTGGGCACTAGGCATACACGTGATGCACACACATGTAGCTAAAACACTAATACAAGTAGGATAAATCTAAAAATTTTTAAAAATAGTCACTAAACATGGAAAACTGAAACAAAATCTCATAATTAAAGATGTAAAATTAATACAAATGAACTCAAATATAACAACAAAATCCAGTGCTAGAGAGAAAATGAAGGGGCATAAAATGTTCATAGGGGTACTGTATTAGCATTTTGAGAAACAACTTGGCAAAACAGAGTTCTTAAAAAGTGTTAAACTATTCTCACCTGGTTCTGAGAACCACTTCTAAGGGAAAAAAAGGAAACTGATGAACTGAATTCAAGTGAGCTGCAGACAAGATGGAAGTAACACCAATGGAAGGAATTCCAAATTTGTCCTGCGGGCATCAAAATCCCGGGTTCACCTATGAGCATCACCAAGCACTAAAAAAAAAAAAAAAGAAAAAGAAAAAAAGAAAAACTGCCTGGAGGTGGACCTCGATCCAAACAAGGACACTCACAAGGCCCTGGCTGACTGACTCAAACTGACCCAAAGAGACATGAAGATTTGATTCATTTTTTGAAGGAACAAGATAAAGCTCAAGCAGTCATCCAAGGCCTACAGAATGCAGCTGACATACAGGGTGTACAAATCAATGACAGTCATGCCACCAGTCTTTCCCGCCTGTTTGCCCCAGCCTCCTATTCAGCCAATACAAAATGTTGTACAAGCACCATCAAGATGGACAACTAGGCAGAACCCCGAGGAGTTCTCTCAAAACACTAACCCCGGGCTCCCTGAAACTTTGGAAGCTTTGAGGAGGCTCATACTCTCTTCTGGGAACCAAAGCAGAGATGGCATGTCACAGGATTTCTGACTCTTGCAGGGAGGGGCACACCTGACACCCTGATCTGCAGATGCTTAGTCACAACTTTCACTTTTCTGAGAGAGTTTGTGTGTCTCATGGTTGGCTTTCAACTCACTCTGGTATCTGGGGATGACAGCTTAACTAATCCCTCTGCCTCTCCATGCCCATTTTTGGGTTTTTGTTTTATTTTGTGGATGTTTTGTTTCTGGCCTGGGATTTGTAGCTCTTACATCCCAGGTGCTGGGCTGCTCAATCTGTGTTGTGATTTTTTTGTCTCTTTTTTCCCCTATGGGATTTTTTTCATTTAACATTCATTTTTATCTTCTTTTTTTTTTTTTTTTTTTTTTCCCCCTTTGAGGCAGTTTCACGCATTGACTCTTTTTGTTAAAAGTTATTCAACTTACTCTTTGAGGGAGGGGGCTACTGAATTTTCATGTCTATCTATGGTACAGTGATAATAAAACTTTCATGGAGATTAAAAAAGAGGAGCTGAAGAGATGGCTCAGAGGTTAATTAAGATTGACTGACTGCTCTTTAAGAGATCCTGAGTTAAATTCCCAGCAACCACATGATGGCTCACAACCATCTGTAATGAGATATGGTACCCTCTTCTGGTGTGCAGGCTCACATGCAGACAGAACACTAAATAAATAAATAAATCTTAAAAAGACAAAAAGAAAAAACAAAACCAATCCTTCATACCGAGAGGTTAAGTAAACGATCATAATTATCTGTAATGTGATATTATGCAGGTCTTAAAAAGAGGGTAAATAGGCTAGCAAGGTTATATAAGCTGAATAAAAAACAGCATACAAGAATTATATATAAAATATGTAAAACAAGTAAATGTCTTCAGAGGGGAAAAAAATCAAAAGAGATACCCCAAGTACATCAGTGGTGATTGTAACTGGGTGGTGAGAATATGGGAGATTTTTGCTCTCTGCTTAGTTTTTATATTTTCCAAAATATTTTAAAAAGCATGTACTATTTTTATGATGAAAAGGAAAACATGATTACTGCTTTTGCTTTTTAAAAACTCTAGCTTGCTGGGTGTGGTGGTGCTCAGCGGGGTGTGATGGCAGACACCTTCAGTTCCAGCACTCAGGAGGCAGAGGCAGGCAGATCATCTCTGTTAGTTCAAAGCCAGCCTGTTCTACAGAGTGAGTTCCAAGACAACCAGGGCTACACGAGAAACCCTGTCTTGAAAACAAAACAAAACAAAACAAAACAACAACAACAAAAAAAAAACAACCAAAATTCTTGCTTATGTTCTAAGGAATGTATGAAGCAACAAAGACAAAGCCACATAGATCAAATGTATAAAAACAACAAATAGAGTTGTATGCAAATAAAAAGAGATAAAGTACAAAATGTTATTAATAGGGTGTACATAAAATAAAAAATTTGGCATGGTAGAATTAACAGAATTAGGAGGATCAGGAATTCAAGGTATCTTTAGCTACATAAGGACTTTGAGTCCAGCCTAAGCTACATTAGACCTATTTAAAAAAAAAAAAAAAGTGAGTGAGGTATGAAGGATCAATGGCTCTCTTCTAGTTACAGAGATTTTTCAGAAGATAACTGAATGATGAGAGTGAAATGTCAAAAAACATTTTTCTGCTTCTAGGTACTTAGAAGCGGGTCTTAAAGTTGGCATTGGTGTGTGATAAAAGAAATGAAGAGAGAAAGCAAAGTGAACACCGAGTGAGAACTGGCATTTCCAAAAAAGACAACTTACCAAATAAAGAGCCTTAAAGAGAAAGATGTAAAAACCTGAAAAGCAATGGGTCAGAAAACAAGCTTAGCCTCGGAATTCAGCAGAGTGGTGTTTTTAGGCAGGAGGAAGAAATCTAGATTGGAGACTTGGAAAAAATGAGAGGTCATATAACCAACCATGTGTGTGACTATCACTTCCCTGAACTGGGTTTCCTTCTCTTACTGTGGTCACAAATAGACCATCTCTGAAAGCTCACAAACATAAAATCCTCTACTCTTGGTATACATTGGAATATTAGCCATTTGCATGCTTGGACTTGGGGGTGTGGTCACAATGAGGTCTCCAAGACAGCAATGACACAAAGCAGAGGAGTAACTAGTTTACAGGAATCCCTTTCCTTCTATTTCTTCTATTTCTAGGGTCAGTGCAAGTATGTTTGCAGTTGAATGGAATAGCAGCTTCTAAGAAATACAAAACAGATGTTAGAGGAAAACATTCCAGGGTGAGTCAGGGGAAGCATAAGGGCACTGTGTGCTCACAGCTTACCATATACTTTTCTTGTAATCTTGACAGATTCCCGAATCCCCAACTCTGCCCAGGCAGGACCAAGGCTGTAGTAGATCTAAAAATGTCAAACGTCATTTACTTCCAAGCCCAAATGTTCTGTGGAAAGAAAAACAAAAACAAAACAAAACAAAAAAACTCTTGGCTGATCTCAAAAGAAACACTCTTAAGAAAAGGAACATATTCTTCCTGATTCACTTCTTAGACCTAGAAAAACATGTAAAAATAAACTTCTTTGGAGTAAATACTAACCATATAAAATCAGCCTCTTGAAACAGAATTGAACCTAAATTCTCATAACTTTCTGTTTACTAAAGTTGTTCAGAATCTGGTAAAGTTGTACATTTTTAAATATGTGATGCCCTTCGGAAAGCTCCATTAACCACAGTAAGTACTATACTTTCCTAGAAATACTGGCTAAGGTTTTTATAGGAACTTAGCTATATCACATATCTTCTTTTAGCTATATCACATATCTTCTTTATAATATCACATAATTCTTTATTGACTCTTTGGGAATTTCACATCATGCATCCCAATCCCACTCACCTCCCAGTCCTTCCCTCCATACCCTCCACTCAGCCCTGCAGTACCCCCCCAAACGAATTAAAAAACAAAACAACACAAACAAACAACAACAACAAAACCTCCCTCCTTCCTTCTTTCTATCTTTCCAACCTCCTCATTCCAACCTCTTCACTCAACCTAGTGGCATTGGGTGCTGTGGTGTGTCACGCAGTATAGCCTGTTATCCAATCAGCCCCACCAGATTAGCATGGCCCTGGTGGCAGTGTGACCCTTAGACACCAACATGGACTTAGGTGTCTGACCAGACCCGGGTCATTCACACTGAGTCATGGACATCAACACAGACCATGGCTACTGCAGGGACCCAGACCCAGACCCGGCCCTTGGCAGCAGCTTGGACCCAGAAGTCATGCTCCCTGGTGGCAGCACAGGCCACTCCGATCAATATGGCCCCATCGGCAGCATTGCTCTTGGACACTAAAACGACCACAGGTGGTGGTCCAGACCCAGGCTTCTCTGTGGCCTTGGTGGCAGCATGGGTCATGGATGTTAACACAGACCCTGGCTGCCGTTGGACCAGGAACCCACATATGGCCCTAGGTAGCTGCCTAGGCACAGGCATTGTCTCCCTGGTCCCGGGTGGCAAGCAGGCCACCATCAGCCTGTTCCTCACCACCCTCGCTTACCACAGCACAGGAATCATTCTGCCTTCTTTCTCTCCCATTTCTCCCACCATATACTTGTTCATCATAATGGCAACCACTAGGGCAGCCTTCTGGATGCCTTCAGCCTGCCGGGGCCATGAGGACCCAGGCTGCCCCATGGATGGATGTCTTTCACCTGACTGAGCTGCAGGATATTAGACAGGCCACTATATCACATTTGTAACACATTTGTGGTGTGCATTTTTGGAATAACATGTAATTTAGGGAACTGACTCATAAGTGATGTTCAATTTATAGTATGTACCTGCAATTTTATGTGTTCTGGAGATAGCATAAAATGATTAAAATTGAGGAAATACAAAAATATAGCTAAAAGGCTGGAGAGATGACTTGGTTGTCAAGAGCACTTGCTGCTCTTACAAAAGACCTGGGCTCAATTCCCAGCACCCATATGGTGGCTCACAACTGTGTATAACTCCAGTTCCAGGAAATCTGATGCCCTTTTCTGGCTTTCCTGGGCATCAGGCACACATTTCCATTTCCCCAGCATAAGGACTACAGATACATGTCACCATGCCCAGCTTTTTTTTTCACATGAATTCTAGGGATTGAATTCAGGTCCTCATTCTTACATGGGAAGCATTTTACCAATTGAGTCCTCTCTCCAAACCTGCATTCCTTAATCTGTTTAAAAACATTTATAGTTCTTTTGTACAGAAGTTCTGTTGGAAATAAAACACATTACCATGTGTTAGTTATTTCTTCAAATGCCCCATTGTAGATACCTTTTATTATTATTATTATTATTATTATTATTATTATTATTATTTCAGGAAATGTAAAAAAAAGTATATACTGTTTCCAATTTCTCATCTCCATACTTACTTGTAAAAATCCTTTTTTCCTGGGACACTGTTTTTTTTATATTTCATTTTATTATTTTATGATTCTTGTCTATAAGCAGTGCTTGAGGGATCAGCCAGTCTCTTAATGCCTGACTCATCAAAAGCTGGGGCTGGCAGGTATCTAAGTATTTGAGAGGCTAACGAAGGAAGGTTTCAAGTTCAAGCACAGCTGGAGCTATATAGATATAGCTCTTCCATGGGTTCTGGAGCAGGCCAGGTCTGCGGTATTTGCTCTCAAAGTCTGATGGACTTCCACTTCCTCCCACGTGATCTCTTCTGGTGCTTGATGAGCTTGGGTTTCCTTGTGCCATGGTGATTTCAGTTAGTACAACTTCCTAGAGCACAAATCTGTTAGTTGCCAGACACTCTCAAAACTTAGGCCTGGCATAGTACCTGTGTTGCATTCTGCTGGTAAAAGTCTCAGCCTATCTTCAGTGTGGGTGGGAACTCCAGAGTGGATTCGGAGGCATAGTTCGCTGGAAGCCATCTTTGGAGGCTACCTCTCACAATATTTTCCCCCAATATTTATGAAGAAATTGTATAAACATTCAACCAAGTGTATTTTCCACCAAATAACCAAATAAGAGAAATGTGCAATTTGTTTCATTATATTGAAGTCTATACCGCAATCTAATTTCCCTGTGCTCTCTCCCAACAATGCCTCATTCCAATTCTTCCGGCACTGTAGTTTCTTCACTGTAGGTTCTAGTATGAGTCTCATCTAAATTAAGTGTTTCCAGATGTCTGAGTCTCTAAGTCCAGAAAAATTAACAAAAATATGACCAATTTAGTCTATATGTTTGCGTAGAGTTACCAACTCTATAATCTTTAATTGCTGAGTAAGAACATTTTAAAAAAAAGATTCTAGGAGCTGGAGTTACAGCTCAGTGGCAAGACACGTGCTTAGCATATGTGAAGTCCCAGCCTCAGTACTGAGCAGCAACAACAAACCAATACAAACTAAATTCAAACAAACAAGCAAACCCACAGACCATTATTATTTTTCATCCTTAAAGAAAAGCTATGTTTAATTTTTTTAAAAACAGTAAAGATTAAAAGACACTCTTTTTAACTAGTTCTGTTTTGTTTATGAAAATAATACATCTTTTAAAAGATTTTTCTTTGTTGGACAACATTTATGAACTTGCAAAGTATATAATACTTTATGAATTTGCCTGTTCTTCTTGCTCCCAGGTCATGTTAGCCTTTTATCACTTCTGTTTTAGTTGTATGTACACTGCAAATGTGATCATTACATCTTTATTTTTCTTACTTTGCTACAAATCATGGAAACTTCAAGGGATGCCACTGGTTCTTGGGCCCAGTGTTTAGGAATGGTCAGCCAATCCAATGTTATTAAACACTGCCAAAATCTTCTTTACTCTGAACCTACAGAATCAGTTTACAACTTCCACTATGTACCATTATCATATTGATACTTCTCTTACAAGGAATCATTTAAATCATTTCTGATGCAAACAAAACAATGCATTGTTGGTTCTCCATTCGGATTGAACAGTAGTTGCAAGTCTTCCCAATATTACTATTGTTGGGAAATTATTTCTGCTCCATTTTGGTTCTTTTATGACTAATGAACAAGGAAGCTGTTATGATCTTGAGCACCTGTTTCTCCATTGGTGGTACAGGTTTACTCAAAACAGAGTTTGTTTAAAATTACTAATACATATTTATTTCTATGTCTACGTGTGAATGTCCATGTCTGTATGCCATGAGTATGGGTACCTTCAGAGACTAGAAATGCCAGCTCTCCTGAAGCTGGAGTTACACGTGGTTGTGAGTTGTCTGAAATGGGTTCTAGGAACAAACTCACAACTTCTAGAAGAGCAGCAAGTGCTCTTAACTTCAGTCCTTTGTTTAAGTTTTAATGAGATAATATATAGTTTATAGAGTAGTGTCTAGCCCTTGATAAGCTATTTGTATGCACCTTAATATAATCTTAAGTTTCAATAATAGATCATCCTCTATTACTTTTGCTCCTTAAAGAAAAGTTATTATATTCTATAACATTTATACAATGAAGATATTCATACACGGCGGTATTAGTATTTTGCAATTGCATTTGGGGATCTCAACATCCTTCAGAATGATTTAAACTATCATTCATTAAAAAATTAGTTATAATTTATACAATAGAATTTTATTTTTTAAGATTTTAAAAAAATTTTTAATGTGTCTGTGTTAGTGTACACTATACATATATGGTGCCATCAGGGATAGAAGAGGGAGCTGAGAGCCTGACATGGGTGCTGGGAACCCAACTCTGGCACTCTTTAACATTATGCCATTGCTCCAGTCCTCCTGTCCTCAGAATTTTAAAGATGGAGACATTAATGTCATGGTTCTACCCTATCACACGCAGGTACTTTTTAATGTAAAAATAAATTTAGCTGGGTGCCATGGCATGCTCCTATAGTTTTGGCTATTTAGTAGAGTGGACCTGTCAAAAACAAACATCTAATGTTAAAATGTAAGTAGTGGTATGTTACAATCATCAGAATAGCCTTGTAGGTAAATACACATACACTTCACACATGCTTCCCGTAGGAGCATTGTCAACAACTTGCCTTGTCTTAGCTACCTACATTTTTTCATGTGTTTCCAAATGGAAAACAACATCATGTTCATTTCTCTGAAAAAAAAAAAAATCCTAAGAATACCTAAAAATGGTAATAAAGGACAAGCAGGGTTTAGGAAATTTATTTCAGGGAAACTGCCAGATTATTTTAAGCCCTATGCTTAAAAATAAATCTAATTCACATGACTGACTTAAAATACCGGGGCCAAGAAAAGTCACTGCAAAAGCATTTAATAAAATACCTGGTTTGTCCCTAGTTTTCATCTTGGTTATGATTTTCTGTGAAGGCTTACTTCCTATCTTGATTTACACAGTGGACTTTATAGCTAAACATTTCTTGTAGCTAATAAAATGAACAAAAAAAAATTCAAACAATGTAATGTTTTCCTAACCTCTGGTTCCCATGCTGATGTACTGTTTAGATGCCATGCACTGCTTTTTATATAGGGACATTTGGCTCCTCTGTAGCATTTCCCAGTGTGGGGTAAAACACACATGTTCAACCTCTAGCAATCTTTCATTTGACCTATGATCAGACTCAAGGATTGATCAGAAACAAATACAGGCTGGACTTCTGCTGAAGGCAGTGAAAATAATCAGAAACCTTTCAGCCTGTCATCCCACAGGCAATGAAGGAACTGAACTAGGAGGAGACGTCCATTATTTTCATGTCACAGATGGGTTGCGATAAAACCACAATTCTAAGTTTTACTGAAGGCCCTGAAGTTGAAACGGTAGCATTATGCAAGCAAGCCAGAACTAAAAGTTGAGAAAGTGAATAGGAATAGCTTAAAAACATTGATTTTTCTATGAATTTTTCCTTTTTAATTAAACTGCACTTAACTTCTATTGACTCTTTCTTCCAGAGGTCAACTTTTAAGGCTCCCTTGACACTCGGCTTGGGAACGCTGAGTGCGTGATTTTTCCCATTGCATCTTAAACAGATTCAACGCGGTGGGGCTGCTGACCAGAGTGCTCCGGAAAATCCAAACTCCACTGGTGCCGAAATAATTCTCTGGTACTTCCGGACGAAAAGCATTCTCCTACCCAGCCAAAATTATCTATCTCATTGATAACATGCGCCTTTTTTTTTTCTTGTCAGAATCCTCCCGACCTGAGGCTAAGTAAGGCCCAGAGGAAGCGGAGCTGGGGTGCCTGCCAGCACTGCGACCGGAGGCAGGGAAAGGTCCACCTCCCCCGGGACCTCCACGGCGGCCCCGCCCCCGCCCGC